GTGGCCTCGCCGCTGGTGCTGCCAGCTGCTGCCGTTGTCCGGCTGGGGGTGGGCGAGGCGTGCACACGGGGCCGGAGACCGCCGCGAGATGGGCTCTGCCGTCGGGGTGCCGGGGGCGGGCCGGCGCCGCCGGAACAACCGGGGTTTGTGCTTCGGCCGGGAGTCTCGCTGGGCTGGGGATCGGAGGGAGACGAGGCCTGGCCCGGCCGGCGCCGCTTTGTGCGGGCGGTTTGCCCGTAGCAAGATGAGCGGCTCCGGTCTGTTTGCCCCGAGGCGGGCGGCGAGCGGGACCCGGCCGGACTGCCCGGATAGCCAGCAGCGACGACGGAAGCGCCTCAGCTTTCCGTTTGAAGGCCTGGCCGCCCCCTGACGTCGATGCCGGGGCGTGGCGGGGCCGGTTCCGCTCGGCTGAGGGCCGGGAGGATGCGGAGCAGGGTGCTGCAGGCTGCCGGCCTCACTCGGGCGTTTTGTCCGAAAGGCCGTCGGTGCAGGAGGCAGTGGTCCACGAAGTGTGAAGGTAGACGTGGAGACGTGGGACATGCTTTTGCCAAGAAAGATTGGGCCAGATGGTCCTTGAAGTCCCTTCCAACCTGGTATTCGATGATTTGATGATTCTGTGACTGAAACGAGGAGTTTCCTAAAGCGGCTGAGCCACCAGGTCCCGGGGTTTTTCCCTCCGGGGTAGGGAGAACCGTGGTCGAGGGAGGGGATTCTGCCCCTCTGCTCCACTCCGAGGAGACACACACACACACCAGTGCTGCCTCCAGCTCTGGGGCCTCAGCACAGGAGAGACATGGAGCTGTTGGAGCGGGGCCAGAGGAGGTCACGGAGATGCTGGGAGGGCTGGAGCCCCTCTGCTGGGAGGGGGGGCTGAGAGAGTTGGGGGGGTTCAGCCTGGAGAAGAGAAGGCGGAGACCTTACTGCAGCCTTTTAGTGCTTAAAAGGGGCTCATAAGAAAGACTTTTGATCAGGGCCTGTTGTAATAGACCAGGGAATAATGATTTTAAACTAAAAGGAGGTAGATTCAGGCTACATATAAGGAATTTATTTTTTTTTTGACAAGGGTTTTGAAACATTGGAACGGGTTTCCCAGAAAGGTGGTGGATGCTCAATCCCTGGAAACATTCCAAGTCGGGTTGGAAAGGGCTCTGAGCAACCTGATCTAGTTGAAGATGTCCCTGCCCATGGCAGGGGATTGGACTGGATGGATTTTAAAGGTCCCCTCTAACCCAAACCATTCTATGTTTCTATGGCAGTGCAGGACACTTTTTTTTTTCCCCCTTCCAGTTTCTTAGCTGGTTCCTGTACACGGCAAGTTGCTCGTTTACAATTTTGGTATTTCATGTACTTCTCCTGAGCAATGATTCTTGTTTCTAGTCTGTCTTACCAAGATTTTTGTCCTGGGTTTCCCAATGAAGAATGACATGAAGTTATTATTAGTATTTGGAAGAAAGTGATAAATGATTGTCCACATGCCAGGAACAATGTACAGCAAATGGATTGTTTGTACTGACTTGGGAATGGCAGTGATATCTGTTAAATTACGTGTCTTAATAGGAGCGTAAGAAGCAACAAGCAATAAGTGACCAAAAAATCTTTGTTAAATAAGGAGGAGGATCCTGTGATGTGGATAAAGTGAACATCTGGGCAGCCAATGGAAAATGCAAAGTAATTGAGATAAAAATTAAAAGGGAGCATAAAAGAGACTAGAGACAACATTCTTGGTATGGTAATTGCAATAATTATTTCATTAACAAAAAAATAAGTGCTATGTAAAAACTAGTAAGTTAGGATCTAACATACTTGTCATTGTGTGATAAAGTCTAGGCAGAAAGTAGGCCCTTCTGAATGAATTGGAGACAAAGAACACTCCAAGGGGCCTCAGTGCAGGGGGAATGAGTGGCTTTGACATGGGGAGCGCACAGGGGCTCATTCCTATTTTGATTCCAGTACTAATTCATCTGGAGTTGAAAAGGTTAAACACTTCCTTGTCGCAGATAACAGTGGTTTCCTTTTCAAAGGATGGTACACACATCCTCAAAGCGCAGGTGTTTGTGTTTAACTGAAAAGTGAAACATGCAAAAAGAAGAAAAATTATGCTGCTAATGTGAGTTGTTCTGCTTTGTTAGGACACCAGGCCTGGACATCACAGACAACAGAAGGTCAAGAGGTCTCTTGGAAACAAAAAGTATGTGTATGTTTCTTGTCTAGTTTGACTGAGGACAAGAAAAAAGCTGAGATTCCTATAGGAAAACCATATCTGGTCTTTACAAAATATTTTGAATTCTAAGAGGTGCAACGATTCTGGTTTGTGTGATGAGAGTCTCAATTAACTTTGCTCATTAGTTTGTAGGAAAGTGCTTTTCTAATACTTAAGGGAGTATTAGCTTTCATTTATTGTTTTTTAAAGGATTTTAATATTGGGAAGATAAATATTTCATGTTGAAGACCAAATGGTGTTCCAAAATCTATGTATTTTGAGTGTGATTGCAACTGAAAGGCTTTGATTTGAGAATTCTCCTCGTCCTTCTACAGTACCACCTTAAACATAGTATATACTACGTTTGTACATATATGTTTCTGTATATACTACGTTTAAACATAGATTGATGTGTCAAAACATGTGACTCCACAGTGTGGGGTGTGGGAGAGTATTGCTGAGGTGGCCATCACAGTTATCCTTCAAGCAATCTATTATTTCTGTTTGTGAATTGTGGTTGCAGTGGGATATGTTGAAAACTGTTTCTGTTGTCTGTTCTTTCCTCTTACGTTAATGGTAGTTGCCCAGATAATAGATGCTCTGTGTTTCTTTGATGCCTAATAATTTTGCTGGTGTGTACAGTAGTGTCCAGGCATTTCGGGGCTAAGACAAATATTTGAGAATAGTGAAGCAAAGTTCCCTCTAAAATCTAGGAAGAAAACCCAGTGCTGCTGGCTAGTCTAAATCTGTCTTAATGTAGTGTGATATAGTCTAAGGCTGTCTTCATTGCTGAAAGCCTTGCTGGTTAAAACTCTCACTAGCATTAAGTCTTAATTGTGTGGTGTCAACTCTGACTCTGGGAATACATACTGGAAGAGATCTTGCCCTGTGTGGGATGGTGTGTGAGCCGGCACAGGCAGGACACAGGAACAACCACAAAACCACAGATGAAATGCCAAGACTAAATTTATTTCCATTACCTCCCCAACTGGGGGATCCTTGAAGCAGCACCTGGGCAGAGGCACATGAGCAGGAACGCAAGTACTGCAGAGATTGGTCCATGCTCGAGAATCACTGAACCTGCTGTTTTCACCTGTACTTTAGTATTCACACAGGCATAGTTTATCACTGTGCTTTGATCTTTCCCACAGCAGGGCAGGAATTTCAATCATAGGAGCCTCTATCACAGGCTTGTGTTACAGAAAGACAGATGCTCTACTTCTCCAACACACAAGGCTAAACAAAATTACTATGATATGTGGGTTGATCTACACCTCATCTGCAGGTCACTTGAGCGTGTTTATAATCCTCCTCACCAATCTTCTGTTATTTTCCCATATGGAAAATCTTTATGTAATTTTCACATCTTTTGTAATGATGAGCTGTAGAAGAATTCTTATATTCCACATTGGTTGCTTAAGGACAAATGTATATTTTTTAAATTGAGATTAACTTGCATCTGCTTCTTAAGTTGAAGTTTTGAGGTAGGTAGAATGTGTTTTTTCTGATTCTCTTGAGTAGCTTTCTAATGTCATTCTCTAGAAGATGTGAAAAATAACACTTAGTGTGTTTTATCTTGCCTGCACTTTTCAGTTCACAAAACTCAGAAAACTCAGTGAACTGTGAAATGAATTTTTAGAGTACTTGGGAAAATGAAAGGGATGTTGTCTATCAGGTTACTCTGGTTGTGTGTGTTATGTATGCACATACATATGTATATATATATACATACGTGAGATTTCAATTTTCCAGGTCTAAGCAATTTGAGGAGGTGGAAACTACTGTCCTGGAACTGAACAGTAACTATGATGAGACAGTCAGCAACATTTCTTCTGTCTCACCAACTAGTCAAGTGAACGGAAGTGCAGAGTCGAGAAGCAAGCGGAACATTCGCAGGCCTGCTTACTGGTTGGAAATGAGAGGAATAAAAAACAGCATTAACAGATCTTCAGAGAAAAAAGGTACTATAGCTTGGCTCAGTGCAAAACGTTTTCTGATTCTTTTATGAGAGACTAGATGACTTCTGAAACACATACTGGAGTTCACCCACAAATTGCAAATTTGATAATGCTGCTTATATATTAGGAGAAAAAAACTTTCTCCGCTGCAGAAACATAGGTAAAATTTTTTTATGTTACACAGTTTCTTTTGAGTGACTTGTCTATTAAAATTACTGATTCTGTGATTGAACTTAGTTTTATCTGTAGAAGAGATACGTATAAAGGTTCTGGCAATCATATCAGGAGTATGTTGTGAGAGCTTTAAAAATAGAACAAAAAAACACTAAAGATGTAGAAGAGGGGACCATTCATCAGTATTCTGGATTAGACATCACTTTTGTGGTTGTTTGGTTTTTTTTAAGGATGTTTTTATTTCTTTTATTTTCTCGCTTCTGTCAGTTACGATCTTCTGATTTGGAGTGGTTTGTGTTCTATTATGAACATTCAGATTTCCTGGCCTAGGAGCTGTTTTCCAGAGTTCTCGTGTGGCGGAGAGCCAAAACCTTGCTCTTCTATAATGCACTTTCTTCTTATCTCTAAATTAGAATCTGTATTCTATTCTGTTACAAGGAGAGCCAAGTCTGGTAGCTTGATAGAATTAAGGTTCCTGCAGCTCCACACCCCCAGGTACAACCAGTAGTGAGACCAAGCATATATTGCTTTAGGTATAAACACGTATATGACATGTATATACAGCCAGCCACGCAGATTAACACAAAGAGGCGCGCTCAGCACTCGCACCAATGGCCTTCATCCTGCTTCTCTCTCTGACTGATCAGGGTGTTACTGAGAGAAAGAAGCATATATGAAAAGTATATATAAAAGGATTACGTATATATGTATGTGTACATTTGTGTGTGCACACGCGCTATGTGGATCTCTCCTGTAGCTGGACTTTAACTCTCAGTCTACTCAGTGTCTGGCCTTTGGATCCTGATCTTCTGGATGGTTGGTACTGGATCTACTAGCCTCTGCGGTGCGCGGAGCCACACCAGTCACTGTGTAGACTTCCTCATAGACAGGTCACACTCACAGATACTGAGCTCCCTGTCCCTCTGGTTTGGCGTCAGGCACGGTCAGACTTGTGTGCTGACCAAAGGCCTGTTTACAAGCAAGTGGCCCTTTCTACCCTCTAACACCTCTGTTTTCCCCCAGTTGATCCTCCCCAAATCAGCTAATTCTCTCCCTTCCTTTGATACCACTCTTAAACATCCCAGTCTTGTGTAATCCTGAATTCTTCTTCCCTAGCATCCCGTATGTCACATAACCATAGGCGTTAACACCACACTCTCCCTTTTCACTGCTCCCCCCTTCCCCTTCCAAAGGGTGCTCCAGAGAGTGGCTCCCATTGACTCGTCCTGGTGGGTCTCCTGGGACAGACCTGGAGGAAGGTATCTGTTTCTTTGAGTCCATCATTTCTGTTCCCCTGCCTGCCATTGGGCTTCTGTACTTCTCAGTGTTCGTGGAGGTAAGCCTTTGATAGGCCTGGAAACAGTGAGGGTAGGCAGGATATTATTTACGTTTCACCACTTGCCATTGTTTCTCATTGCTCCTTCTTGTGTGTGTGCAGATGAGGTTTTTACGACACAACCTAGCACCTTCTGGCCCTCTTCCTGAGGAGGCTTACTTTCCCAAACCAGGCTGTGGCACTGTTTCTTCCCTATCTTCTGTGTCAGAAGATTGCAGGCTGTGGCGTGCCTAAATATTACCGAGTCAAAAGTCTAGCTCACTGGTGCCTTACAAAAACTACTTTTTTTTTTTTTTTTGAAATATTGAATATGAAGATAAGCTGAGGCAGCAGCAGACTCAAAGCTATTATCCAGACTGAATAATGAGACTGAAGCATTTCTGTTCTTACTCATGAGCAGGAGAAGTACTGTTGAAATGCAAGAGGAAATCTGAGCAAGGGGAAGGCGAAGATCTTAAAGACTCTCCCAAGAAGAAGCAGAAGATTTCGGGTAATACAAATAACTTGTAATTCCTAGTTACAAGCCTCCAGGTACTTCAGACTTTCTCTCTGCCCAAATGCTATCCTCTGCTGCCTTCCAACTCTATGTCTCATTCTGTGTATTTTGTTATATCAGACTGTTAACTAGTTTCTATTTCACAGTGGGAGATGATTGTTCTAATTTCAGTCTCTCTTAAAAGTCTGATAAAGGGAGGGAGGAAAGGAAGTAGGGGAAGTATAGGCTACTCTGTTTCATTTCATTTCCCAAAAGATTCTGGACTAAATAATCAGACAAATTACTTGTAAACATCTGGAGATTAATGAGTATCATCATTAATTGATGATACCAGCAATATGGGCTCGTTGTGGAGAAATCAAACCAAACCACTTTGATTTTTATTTTATCACAGAGACAGAGGGGGAAATGCTTGATGCCATAGGTCTTTCATGCCTTCAAAGGGTTGTTAATCAGTGGTTAGGTGCAAAAGGAAGTGTTCAAGTGGTGAAAGTAGGAGCAGGTGACACAGGAGAAGTATACATTTGCTGTCCAGTCTTGCAAGGGTGAGTGAGCTTAGGAAAGCCAGCCTGGAGTTGAATCTGGGAAGGGATGTGAAAGGCAGCAAGAAAGGATTCTACAAGTACGTGAACAGCAAAGGGAGGACTAGGGAAAGTGTGAGTGTGCTGCTGAACAGGGCAGGGAAGCTGGTGGCAAATGACATGGAAAAGGCTGAGCTATTCAGTGCTTCCTGTGCCTCAGTTTTTATCACCTAAAAGAATCCTTTAGGAATCCCAAGCACCTGAGACCAGAGGGATAGTCTGGAGCAGGGCACTGAGCGTTATACTCAGTGACAGAGCACGAGATTAGAGTACTTAAACATACTGGATGTACCTGAGTCCCATGGCACTTGACAGGTTGCACGGAGTGCTGAAAGAGCTGGTGGATTTCATTGTGAGGCCACTCTTGATTATCTTTGAAAGGTCATGGTGACTGGGGGAGGTTCCCGAAGACTGGAAGAGAGCAAATATCACTCCTATCTTCAACGACAGAAAGAAGGAAGATCTGGGGAACTACAGGCCAGTCAGCCTCACCTCAGTCCCTGGGAAGGTGATGGAGAGGATCCGCCTGAAAAGCATTTCCAGTCACATGAAGGACAAGGTGGTGGTTGGGAGTAGTCAGCATGGATTCATGATGGGCAAATCATGCTTAATCAACCTGATAGTCTTCTATAATGAGGTCCCTAGCTTGTTGGACAACAGGAGAGCAGTACATGTTGTGTACCTCAACTTCAGTAAGGCTTTTGGTACCACAGCATCCTCGCAGACGAGCTGCCAAAGTACAGGTTAGATGAGTGAATGGTGCAGTGGATTGAAAGCCAGCCCAGAGGGCTGTGACCAGCATCACAAAGTCTAGTTGGAGGCACGTCACCAGTGGTGTACCCCAGGGGTAAACACTGGGGCCAGTCCTGTTTAACATCGTATTAGCGACCTGGACAATCAGCAGTGTTCACCCTCAGCAGGTTCACAGATGATACAAACTGGGAGGAGTGGTGGTACGCCAGATGGGTGTGCTGCGATCCACAGGGACCTGGATGGGCTGGAGAATTAAGCTGAGAGGAATCTCTTGAGGTTCATCACAGAGAAATGTCCTGCAGCTGGGCAGGAATAACTGAGCTTCTGGAAACCAGCTTTGCAGAGAAGGAGCTTGGGGTCCTGGAAGAGACAGCAAGCTGACCAGAAGCCAGCAACACACTCTTGTGGCAAAGGCAGCCAGCAGAATTTTGGGCTACATTAGGAGAAGCATTGCCAGCAGGTCGAGGGAGCTAATCCTGCCTTTCTGCTCAGTGCTGGTGAGGCCACGTCTGAAGTACCATGCCCAGTTCTGGGCTCCCCAATACAGGGCTTCAAAGACAATTTAGGGCCTGTAATATCTTTCCTATGCAGCTGAGAGAGCTTCAGCTCTTCAGTCTGGAGAAGAGAAGGCTCAGGCACAATCTTATCAGTGTGTATAAATACTTGATGGGAGGCAATGAAGAAAAGGAAGCCAGAATCTTCTCACTGACAGGACAAAAGGCAATGGGCACAAATTAAAACACACAAAATTCTATCTGAAGACAAGAATACACTTTTGTACTGTGAGGGTGGTCAAATCCTGGCACAAGTTGCCCAAAGACAATTTTGTAGAGTCTTTCAGTGGAATATCGGTGGAGATACTCAAAACTTGATTGGACATATTCTTTGGCAACCTATTCTAGCTGACCCTGCTTGAAAGCAGGGGTTGGACTATGGGATCTTAGGAGGTCCCTTCCAACCTAAATGTTTCAGGGATTTCTGTGAAATAGAAAAAGTATAGAATGATGGTTTGCAATTTGTCCTAGATTCAATTCTAACTATTGGTTTTGTCACCAAGAACTTGGAATTATGTCAGCAGCACAAAGCTGAAAGAGATATAAAGTGTCTTGGAGAAAAGGCTAAAATTGAAAGTGTTCTTGACATTAGAGAAACAATTTAAAAATATAATGGAATATAGTGTGTAAAATTAAAGATACTGTAGTTAGGAAGAAATATTAGAACAGCTGAAAGACAAGTAACAACCTCCTAGGTGTCAGTTCTTCAGAAGAGGATTTGAAATTTATAACAGATCAAAAGCTGAATAGGGACCAACAGTGTCACACTTGTTTTTTAAAAGGCAGATATTATAGTGAGGTGTTTGAGCAGGAATGTAGACTTTCAAACATATCAAGTACTTCTTTTGCTGTGATGCAGGATCACATTGGAGTGCTGTTTCCAGCAGTGGGCACTGCAGTTCAGGAAATGCATGGACCAGCTGAAGAGAACAGGCATGAGAAGAGAGCAAAAACCATAACTAATGAGAAAATACTGAAGCAATAATAGTTTAGTCTAAAGAAAACAGGAATGGGACTGTTGTCCCATGGAACATTTGGTTGTCAATAAGTCATTAGGTTGGCTCAGCCACACTGGGAACAGAGGATGTTTCAGCGTGAAGAGTTACCATCCCCTGAACTTTGTGTATGAACAGCCATACAGATTACAAATATCTGGATGGGACTAATGCCTGGAGCTGTAAATAGCTATGGATTTTGAAAAGGAATAGGGAACGTAACCTTGAAATTCCTTAAAAAAAACCCAACCAAACAAAACATCTAACATTTCTGAATGAGTAGCTTTGAGACAGCAGACTAAATAACAGCCTTCTAGCAAAAAATCCCTGCTCTTTTTGTGACAAGGCTCACAGAATTAAGTCTTCTGGTCTTTCTTGTTTGTGTTATAACAGGAAAAAAACAGCAAGCTGGAACACAACAAAACTCCAACACAAAAGGCCACTGTGTTCAGAAAGAACCAGAAACCTATGGCACAGGTAAGAAGAAGAGCACAGCAGTTGCTCAGAATTGTTTATAAAGCTGATTTTGGCTGGGATAGAGTTAATTTTATTCATGGTAGCTAGTATGGGGCTATGCTTTGGATTTGTGTGGGGAAACAGTGTTGATAGTACAGGGATGTTCCAAGCTCGGCTCCTCACCCTACCCCACCAGTGATGGGCTGGGGAGGAGCACAAAAAATTGGGAGGTGACACAGCTAGGACAGCTGACCCTGACTGACCCAAGGGATATTCCATACTGTATGATGTCATGCTCAGCATATAAAGCTGGGGGAAGAAGGAGGAACAGGGGGAACGTTCAGAGTTTTGATGTTTGTCTTCCCAAGTCACTGTATGCATGATGAGCCCTGCTGTCCTGGAGATTGCTGAACACCTGCCTGCCCATGGGAAGTAGTGAATTAATTCCTTGATTTGCTTTGCTTGCACGCAGGGCTTTTGCTTTACCTATTAAACTGTCTTTATCTTAACCCATGAGATTCTTCCCTCTTAGTCTTCCTATTCTCTCCCCCATCCCACTGGAGGGAGTGAGCAAGCGGCTGTGAGGGGCTTAGTTGCCGGCTGGGGTTAAACCGCAGCACAGCTAGAAGATAAATGTGATTCTAGGATTTGAGTCTGAGCAACAGCTGTTTCTGGTGTTTCCATTTTGCTGTACTCTTTACTGTTGACAAGGGAAAAACTGGCTTTTGTCCTTTTGGCACTGTGTCAGTACTGCAGAGCAAGACTGGAGGGACTGCATGCTGCTGAATAGTGTAGTACCACGTGCTTTTACCACTGCATAACAGAACAGTGAATGGGGAGTCACTTTTTGAACCAAGCAAAAGCTTGTTAAAACAGATGCACTATAAAACTCATAAATATTTTTATACTTTTTTACTCAGCATGATATGTTTGCAGGAAAAACTCTGTAGCTGTTGCTGCCAAATCACCTCTTCTGGTAACCTGTAGCCAGAGACCCAAGCTGTCCATCTTAGAAAAATAACCTTAGCCTTGATTCAGCAAGTGGAATGACTTGGTGTGTGTAGCTCATGGCACTCGTTAAGTACCCCACTTTTCTGCCAAGTGCTGTTCTTTTTGCCTTTTCCCCCAGCCACCTGGGGAGGAACAAGCCCAGCCTGTTATTACTGGGCAAAGAGGAAAGCCTTTAGATCTTTTTACGATAAGAATTCAAGTAGATGGCTGGTAAGCCACTTTCTTCCTGGAATCCATTTCAGTAATTTATAATCCTTGTGGATTTCAAAAAGAGGCCAGAAATTGGAAACCGTGGCACACAGGGTACTTCTACCTGTCTGTTGACTAATGTGGCCTGGTGGTGCAACTCTGTTCACTTTCAGTGCCAAAACTGCTGGCTAACAGAAGTGGGCTTCTAAAGATTTGATTAGTAGACCCGAACTGTGGACTTTGTCTGAAATTGTTGTCACATCTGTGACTGCTTTTACTGTGGAAACCCTTTATGCTGAAAGAGAGGTTTACTCTGCGTGCTAAAGTAACTGTGTAATTGAAATGAATGAAGGAAAAATCTCTACTGAACAAGTGGAAGAACACTCCTCACAAGGGTTGGTAGGATTAAAGAGTTTCTATAAAATGATCTTCCAAAAGGAGTGATGTGTACCTTATCACGTGACACAGTTAAAGCTGCGAATGAGCTAAACCTGCTGAAGTGTAGCCGGACACAAGTTTGGTAGCACGTGATCTCTTTCTTTCTAGGATTCATAGTGCACGAGTTAAAAAAAAAAAAAAAAAAAAAGATTGTGTTTGCAGTTCTACTCCAAACCTTTTGATTTGACAGGTAGTATGGAAGAGCGATGGTCTCTGGAAATTCAGGACAAAGGCCGAGTTACCTGTCCGACATGCCGGGCTGTGGTGAGGAAGACTGTAGAAGGGCTGAAGAAACATATGGTAAATTGCAGGCAGGTAAGAACACAAGAGATGAGCAATGTTTTCTTTACTCCTTTTCAGCTTACTGGTAGAAAAGCCTGCACACTGTTTCGTGTTGCATTTAAAACCAGTTTCATCTCATCGTCATCTCTCTAAGCATGAGTCCTTTAGACATCTGTCAGAGGCTGTGCTTAGAGCTTCTTCCTTAGGCTTTTGCTGGAGATTTGGGGTAGTGAACAAAGGTGTAGCTATTTCATTGTTCCCCTAAATTTTAGGCTCTATAAAATATATTCTGTAATTAATGGGCAATTGCCAGGCCCAAATAAAATATTCTGCTCTCTTGCTCCTTTCCCAGAACGAATTTCCCACTGCTTTGGTTAATTTACAGTTACACACACAATGTCCTTATTTATTTCTAGAAAATGTTCACGTGTCATCACTGTGGGAAACAGTTGAAGTCTTTAGGAGGGATGAAATACCATGTCATGGCAGACCATAACAATCAGGTAACACAACTGCTGTGCATCTAAAAATCTTACAGGCAAGACAGTCTTTTGTTCCTTCCCTGACACACACAGAAACAGAACATGATGTGGTTTTTCAAATGTTGTAGCGGTTTAAATCTTCCCTATCTACTCTTTTTCCAGTGAGATTTGACATCTGAAAAAAAAAAAAAAAAAACAACAGTAAAATGTTGCCAGAGATGGTAGGTATGCTGCATTTTAGAAAGAAGGGGTGGATTTGTTTAGGCTGGTCACAAGTAAAAGGCATTCTCAATCAGAAAAAAAAATGATTGCTCATTAGGATGCAATTTTCAGTCCTTTACTAGAAAGTAATTTTTCTATATCCAGAGCAGACTAGATCTCAGTTCTTTACAAGTTCAAAAGTAAAAAAGCAGAAGCAACAGTTTAGTTCTTGTCTCTACTTACTGTAAAGATACTAATGCTGCAATCTACTTTTCCTCTTTGCTATTACTTTAAAGAAGGCAATGTCTCCTGTTGTAGCTGTGAAGAATTAGAACATCTGGAAAGGTCATTCGGAAGTTTGGGCAAGGTTTAGATAATTAGTTGCTGTTATTTTTTACATAGTACCCAGTACTGTGCTTTCAGAACTTACAGCTGTACTAGTAAATTAAATAGGTCAGGGATCCTGTTCTGACCCTGAGAAATAAGTGTGTCACTCAGTTCTAACTCTTTATTCAGTCTAGGTGAAATATTATTACAAGGTAGTGTAGGAAATAATATACAATAATCATCAGAGAGAGAATAGAGAATAACTTGAAGTGTAGTTTACATAGATGAATAACTGTTACAGGCAGCTAGCTTTAGTTAGACTAAGTGGAAATGGTAGGACCAGTAAATGTTAAAGATGCCTGACAGATGAGTAAGTACTTTCAAGAGGCAGAAGGGGAAAAAAGTAATAATGGAAATATTGTCCTTCACAGCAGCTATAGTTTAGGATCATTTCTTATCAAGGTTTTGTTCATAGATAGCCATGTAAATGTTAAAACTCCTATCTGCAAAGTGGTTTTCAGGCAGTTTACTCATTTTAAAGACAATTCAATTGTTTTGGGATATAGACAGTGATTGCTGTATTAGATATGCTTCTGTAAAATCATAAGTTCTAGTGATTTAATTATTTTAGAAGCTTTTCTTCAGTAGTGTACTGAGTAGTGAATTCTTTATGAGAAGAACTGTAAATGCTGAGCATCCTGTGTTTTTCTGTCATCTGTCTACTGTGCTTTAGCCAGTTGTGAAAGAGGGAGGAGAAGTTGATGAGCAGCTTGAGCGAGACCGCCTTCGGAAGGTTTTGAAGCTTATGGGAAAACTAAAGTGTACGAGGGAGGTAAGCTGCATTGTATCCTGAATTAAACAGCAGCAGATGCATGAACGTAAAATGTGATAACAGTACTGCCGGTTATGCTTTGGTGCTAGCCAAGGCTGGGCTTGTCTCAAGATTCTATCTGCTTTCAAGACAGAGTATCACAGAATCTTAGAATGGTTTGGGTTGGAAGGAATCTTTAGGTCCATCTAGTCCAACTCTCCTCCCATGAGTAGGGACATATTCAACTAGATCAGGTTGCTCAGAGCCCTGTCCTGTCCAACCTGACCTGGAATATTTCCAGGGATGGGGCATCCACCACCTCTCTGAGAAACCTGTTCCAGTGTTTCAAAACCCTTGTCAAAAAAAAAATTCTTCCTTATATATAGCCCAAATCTACCCTCCTTTAGTTTAAAACCATTATCCCATTTCCTGTTGCAACAGGCCATGATAAAGATTTTGCCCTCGTCTTTCTTATGAGCCCCTTTTAAGCACTAAAAGGCTGCAGTAAGGTCTCCCCGGAGCCTTCTCTTCTCCAGGCTGACCCCACCAACTCTCTCAGCCCCCCCTCCCAGCAGAGAGGCTCCAGCCCTCCCAGCATCTCTGTGGCCTCCTCTGGCCCCGGTCCAACAGCTCCATGTCTCTCCTGTGCTGAGGCCCCAGAGCTGAAGGCAGCACTGAGGGGTGAGGGGGTGTCTCCTCAGAGCAGAGGGGCAGAATCATAGAATTGTTTGGATTGGAAGGATTTTATTGTTCTTAATATCTAAAGCCAGGTTAAGCTCTAGTTGGGCTTTGGCCCTTCTAATTTTCTAATCTTTTAGATCATCAATTCCAACCATCAACCTGTCAATGACAAAAACCATCACTAAACCATATCTCTTTTATTACACCTTTATAATCTTCCTGAGTGGCCTGATTGTCTACCTGTCTTTTAAATACTGCCAGGGATGGTGACTTCACTGCCCTGGACAGCCTGTCCCAATGCTTAATAACCCTTTCCCTTCCCCCGATGGCTTGCTTTACAGCACACAGGGAAGGCCTGCTTGTGCACCTTTAAGACTTCCTTCTTGAAAAACATCCAATCCATTATAAACCTCCCCTGGAGCAACTTGAGGCCGTTTCCTCTTTCCCCATCACTTGTTCCTTGGGAGAAGAGACCGACACACCCCCCTTCCCCCTGGCTCCTTTTAGGGAGTTGTAGAGAGCGAGAAGGTCTCCCCTCAGCCTCCTCTTCTCCAGGCTGAACACCCCCAGCTCCCTCAGCCACTCCTCACAAGACTTGTGCTCCAGACCCCTCACCAGCTCTGTTGCCCTTCTCTGGACACACTCCAGTACCTCAATGTCCCTCCTGTTATGAGGGGCCCAAAACTGGGCACAATGCTCCCACCCAACTCTGTGTCCTCTGCAGACTTGCTGAGGGTGCACTCCATCCCCTCATCCAGATCATTGATAAAGATACTAAAGAGAACTGGCTCCAGTACTGAGCCCTGGGGAGCACCACCTGTGACCGGCAACCAACTGGATTTAACTCCGTTCTTCACCACCACTTTCTGGGCCTGGCCTTCAGCCAGTTTTTAACCCAGTGAAGAGTACTCATGTCCAAGCCATGGGCATCCAGTTTCTTCAGGAGAACGCTGTGGGAAATGGTGTCAAGGCCTTGCTAAAGTCCAGGTAAACAACATCCGCAGCCTTTTCCTCATCCACCAAGCGGGTCATTTTGTCATAGAAGGAGATCAGGCTTGTCAAGCTGGACCTGCCTCTCATGAACCCGTGCTGGCTGGGCCTGATCAGCTGGGTGTCCTTCATGCGCCACATAGTGGCACTCAGGATGGTCTGTTCCACGACCTTCCTCGGCACCGAGGTCAGACTGACAGGCCTGTAGTTCCCCGGATCATCCTGCCAGCCCTTCCTGTGGATCGCGTCACGTTTGCTAGACGCCAGTCAGCTGGGACCTCCCCAGTTTGCCAGAACTGCTGGTAAATGGTGGAAAGATGCGTGGTGAGGACTTCCGCCAGCTCCCTCGGAACCCTTGGGTGGATCCCATCCGGTTCCATAGACTTGTGTGTCCAGGTGTTGGAGCAGGTCCCTCACCGCCTCTCTTTGGATTAAGGGGGCTTCATTATGCTTCCTGTCCCTGTCTGCTAGCTCACGGGTCTGGGTGCTCAGGGAACAACCAACTCTTACTACTAAGGACTGAGGCAAAGAAGGCATTAAGTACCTTAGCTTTCTCCTCATCCTTTGTCACTCTGTTACCACCTTCATCTGATAAAGGATGGAGATTCCCCTTAGTCCTCCTCTTGTTACTAATATATTTATAGAAACTTTTTATTGTTCTTAATATCTAAAGCCAGGTTAAGCTCTAGTTGGGCTTTGGCCCTTCTAATTTTCTCCCTGCATAACTTTATTACACCTTTATAATCTTCCTGAGTGGCCTGCCCCTTCTTCCAAAAGCCATAAACTCTCCTTTTCCCCCTGAGTTGTGACCATATCTCTCTGTTCAGCCAGGCTGGTCTCTTCCCCCGATGGCTTGCTTTACAGCACACAGGGAAGGCCTGCTTGTGCACCTTTAAGACTTCCTTCTTGAAAAACATCCAGCCTTCCTGGACTCCTCTGCCCTTCAGGGCTGCTTCCCATGGGACTCTGTCAAGCAGGCTGCCCTCCTTGACTTGTCCTGTTTCCAGGCTCAGCGTTAATTTGATCACTGCATTCAGGGCTAGGAGATATTCTAGTAAGTGACATCCTCAGGAACCATTGGGGTCTTTGTAGAGACAATAGCTGTATACTAGGAACAGCTGAAAGTTTTATTTGCCATCATCCTAATGTTGCTGCGTTCTAGATGGTTTGACCAGCCAACCAAGTATAAAATCTTCCTCTTTTTCTGCTCAACTCCTCCATTCTTAGCTTTCTCCTCATCCTTTGTCACTCTGTTACCACCTTCATCTGATAAAGGATGGAGATTCCCCTTAGTCCTCCTCTTGTTACTAATATATTTATAGAAACTTTTTATTGTTCTTAATATCTAAAGCCAGGTTAAGCTCTAGTTGGGCTTTGGCCCTTCTAATTTTCTCCCTGCATAACTTTATTACACCTTTATAATCTTCCTGAGTGGCCTGCCCCTTCTTCCAAAAGCCATAAACTCTCCTTTTCCCCCTGAGTTGTGACCATATCTCTCTGTTCAGCCAGGCTGGTCTCTTCCCCCGATGGCTTGCTTTACAGCACACAGGGAAGGCCTGCTTGTGCACCTTTAAGACTTCCTTCTTGAAAAACATCCAGCCTTCCTGGACTCCTCTGCCCTTCAGGGCTGCTTCCCATGGGACTCTGTCAAGCAGGCTGCCCTCCTTGACTTGTCCTGTTTCCAGGCTCAGCGTTAATTTGATCACTGCATTCAGGGCTAGGAGATATTCTAGTAAGTGACATCCTCAGGAACCATTGGGGTCTTTGTAGAGACAATAGCTGTATACTAGGAACAGCTGAAAGTTTTATTTGCCATCATCCTAATGTTGCTGCGTTCTAGATGGTTTGACCAGCCAACCAAGTATAAAATCTTCCTCTTTTTCTGCTCAACTCCTCCATTTGTATCTGAAAATCTTCCTATTTTGTGCGTCCTTGTTTAACACCTTGCTTCTTCATTCCATATATTGAGATTTTCTGTTGCCCACTGCCTACAAAGAAGTTCTCAGAAATAGTTTCTCCCAGATGCATCCAGTTCTTTGTCCCAGATTTTCGCTATCTGAATAGACTAACGTTAAATTTTACTATGTGATTTATTCTGATCTGGCAGGAAAAGTGATATTACTTTGGTCAGCAAACGGTGGATTTTATACACAGTGGTCTTGTGGTCAGCTGGAGAGTGTTTTTCTTCCATGCGTTTTTCTTCTGCGTTAACAGGGCTGCACAGGCAGCTTTACTAGCATAATGGGATACCTATATCATGTTAAAAAATGTGGGAAGGCTGCTTCTGAGCTGGAGAAAATGGCTATGAAGTGCCATCATTGTGGAAAAGCGTATAAATCAAAGGCAGGACTTGTCTACCACCTCCGATCTAAGCATGGGCCGGTAAGTGCAAATTGCCATGGTTATTGGGATAGCGTGGTGGTACTTCAGCTGTTCAGACTTGAGGCACACCTCAGCTTTTGTCTGCTGCTTGGGTGGGTAATTAGGGATAGCAAATATTTGCATTTTTCTGTCTCTCTGGAGTATTCTGTCCTTGATACTTTGCTTCTAGCAGCAACTGTTGCTGTTCTGTGACTAGGATGAAGTTTTTAATAGTAAGTCACTGTGGCAGCAGTAAACTTTCCCCAGCCTGACTTTTGCTCAATGGAAGAATGATGCTGACATGTATAACTTGACATGCTTTTCTTTGCTCTTAGAAGACCTGATGTGGGAGCAGAACAGGCAGTACTGTACTTGTTATTCATAAGGGTTTTACAGCCAATGATGTGACGTTCTTTCAAGACCAGTGGCTGCATGAAACTCTCTGCTTGAGCCTTGCTGCTGTGACCCCCCTGAGTAGATCTGGGGGTCTGCCTCACCAGTGGGATGCGCTTCTGTCCATTGTCTGTGACAGTGAACAGCTGCAGCAGCATTTTTGTGAGGTGTTTGGCAGAATATTTATTCACAGTATTTAGTGTAACTGAAATAGGAACTAGTGAAGAAGGCTCATCTTTTTTGGCCTTCATTGCAGGTCACTTTCCTCCATGAGGAGAGAAGAACAGAGAGCCTGAAGAAAGTAAAACAGGAGCCAAATAACGCAGGCAGAGTTCAGAGGAGGTCTGCAAAGGTGGCAATCTACTATCTCCATGAGCTAGCTGGAGAAGAGCTGGCCAAAGAGTGGCCTAAGAGAAAAGTTCTGCAGGACTTGATTCCGGATGACCGGAAGGTACAAGGCCTTAAAAATGTCTTTCTTCACATCAGATGAGTCTTTCACTGGCACCTACCCAGCGTTGCCAGTGTTTGGTGGCCCGTGGAAAGCAATATTGAAGAAGTAATGTCTTGTGGGAGGGATCAGGTTTTGCTCCTCTGGCCTTAGATTACAGTGTTGCTACAGTAGCAATTGCTGTGGTATAAGTATTTTATCCAGGCAGGCTGTAATGACTTTCAAGTCCTATTGCTGTAATTTTCAGTGGGCACAAGTAAAGAAGGCAGTTATAGGCAGTGTGTTGCTCACAGGTCATAGGCTGCAGATCACTGCTACCATGCAGCGATACTTCATCGTTTTTCAGACTCCAGAGTTTCCAAAGAGCATCTTTTAGGCTGTAAGGGAAACCCAAGAGAAGAGTGTGGTTTGAATGGGGCAAGTACATCTAGAGGAACTGGTGTAGTCAAAGTTACGGGAAGTTTTGAATTCTGGTGTTGTGGGAGTTTTCCCACAGATTCAGTTATGTTTGCAGAGAGTCAGTGAGATGGGAAAACTTTGGTTATTGAGAGCTTGGCTGTTAAATTAGGAGAAGAAATATCTCTTCTGTGTCTCAGCCCGGGAGATAAAGAGACATAGTTGGCCTTATGTGTAGCCAACATTGTTTCCAGCTTTCAATTCTGTCTCTTTATCTCAGCTGAAATATACTCGTCCAGGACTGCCCACATTTAGTCAAGATGTGCTGTGCAAATGGAAAACGGAGATAAAGATGTACCGAAGAGTCCACTGCCCAAATCAGGTAAGCGTTCAAGTGTTTCTGAAGCCTCAAAGGGAACAGATTTCAGGTCTGTTATGAGCCAGCAGCTTTTTACAACCTTGAAACTGCAGTTTTTCTCTCTGGGAGACAAATTCTGCTCAGGTTGGTTAGTGTAACCGAGACCCTGCTTGGACTGTTGCCTTAGGAATGATGTGTTTAAGCACTTCAGAGCCAGTAACTTGGTGTCAGACCGGAACACATTTCACATCCAGCTGGGAGCTGGTCCATTTGAAAGTTTGAGCAGTGGAAAAATGACAGGCCCCTGCCTGTCTAGCAGTGTACTAAATCTAATTATAGAAGGGAGGAATAGAGATGGAAATAAAAGAGTAGAGGGACTTTGACACAGCACTTAAGTTTTCTTTTGGAAGCTGGAAATGGGCTACAGCAGACATGCATGGCACTGCCATCCTGGTCTAGGTATGCTTATGCATGTGCACTTAGTTTTTTACAATCCCATGCAGCAGTCACCAGACATATCCAGTGAGAAGAAATGGCCCCGTTGGTGGAAACTGTGGTAAGTATGATGCAGCTGATGCACACTGCTGGATAGCCAAGGGTCAGTGGTGGCTTCCACCCGGGTTTGGTGTAGAGACAGTACCTTCCCCCTGCCCTACATCACGCCCACCACTCTCTCGCCAGTTTTCAGGCTTGTGTCATGTTGTATATGGAACTGTCCCCGGAAAGCAGCTGTCCCATTTCCCTGACTGGTAACCCAGGAGCATGTGTTGCACCCACCTCCTGTTTCAGGGTCTGGGCTCTTGGCTGAGCACCATCTGGTGATGCCTAAAGCGCCACGTAGGGAGGGCCTGTAAAGTGCCCTTAATTGAGACCATCGGTGTTGGATATGGTACTTCTGCTCTGTGCCAACAGATACACAGGCAGGGCAGACCTCTCTTACGCTTTTGGAATTGTCTTCCAGACAATAGTACTTCCTTGTGTAGGAAGAAGTGATTTCTTATTGACGTTTTGCTGACATGCGCTTTTTTTGCTGTTTCAGGGTTGTGAATCTGTGTATGGCAGTGTCTCAGGACTCAAATCTCACCTCGGCACGTGTACCCTGGTTGGTAGCCTTGCTGTACTCATTATCTCTTATACCAATAGCCTGACTGTCCCTGTCCCTGAGATGTCTCCTTGTTCAAGCTGTTGTCCTGCCATCTGCTGAGTTCCTCACAATTTGACTGCTTCCTTATGTGCTAACAGGGTTGCCATTACAAACACTGCTTGAAGCAAGGAGGAAGCATCTTAGCAGCATGCATTTTAGTGAAACTGCAGTCCTAGCTTTAGATTCACAGCTACAAGAGCATTTTTTCCAGGTACAGTGCTGGAGACCTTGTAAAATCTCACAGAGCAGCTCTGTGCTTTGTGGGCTTAACTGGTCAGTAATGTCAGTCCTCTTGTAGCTAAAGCATTGTCTGGTATGAATAAGAGTTTCTTACTGCTGGGTTATGTCTCAGCAAGATTAAAGCACAATATATAGGCGTATCAGCCTTCTAGGTAGCAATTGGCAATGGATTTTTTATTTTTTTTTTTGCTTTGGTGCCAGGGTGACTTCGTGGCTGGTAAATACAAATGTCTGCTGTGTGAGAAGGAGTTCATTTCAGAGAGCGGGGTCAAGTATCACATCAATTCCATGCACGCTGAGGTAAGGCAGGCAGAATGGATGTCCTCAAACCCCAGGTTACTGGAGGCAGGGAGGGTGAATGAAATGCTGGATGCTTGCCGTGTTTTATTTTCCCCTTGCTCACTGCTGGGAACAGAATCCCAAACTCAAGTGGCAAAATTTAAGCAAATCTAGCTTAAACATAGCTGTTCTTATGCGTTAGTCTGGGGAGCAGGTGTTGTGTCGTGTCACATGTCTTGTCCCAAGCTGCTGCTGCTCAGTTCAACTCTTCAGCGTTTCCCATGCCTTTAGCCAGGCAATTGCCAAATCAAATCTGAGTCCTCTGAGACAGTGACACCTGGGGAGGAACACTGAAGAACAGAGCTTTGTTAGGCAGCTGCCTTTCCAGATCTCATGTTTCAAGGAACACCTTGTCCCACAAGGCAGTTTTATTATAAGCCCTGATGGCCTTCGTATGGTATTTCCGCTTTGAGTACCAACCTGTTGCCTTCTAAACCCTCCAGGACTGGTTTGATGTGAACACAAGTACCACCAAAAGCTTTGAGAAGCTAATGAAAATCCGCCAAAGAGAAGAGCAGAGGAAGCAACGGAAGAAACGTCCTTTGACCCGGGGCAAAAAGAAGAGAACTGGGACCCTGGCTACCAAGAAGGTTCCCACTGCAGGAGTTGAAAAAATGAGGAGAAGTAAGAGAGGTCGTCCGCAGAGGGTGGACAATGAGAGTGTGATTAGTGAGGAGAGGGAGCCCCAAGTTGCACAGAGAACCAAATTTCAAAAAAACAACTGCAAGCGAGGCCGGAAGTAAAACCCTACAAGAAGAGAAGGAGTAATCCTAAAGCTTTTTGGTTACAAGCCCCACTTCTGTCAAGCTCATAACCCACAGCACTAATACAAACAACTGAATGTCTTTTGGACTGTGACTCCGTTCTACTCAGTGACCTTGATTTTGAAACTATTGCCTCTGGTCCATTGTGAGAGACTTCAAACCAAAGCTGTGGTACAGAGGCTTCCTCTCCTGGTGTAGTTCCCTTGGACAGTGGCACTAGCAGTGTACCCAGTGTAGGTCCTGTTCTGGTTACAGTCTCGGTTTGGGTCACATTAGTTCCTTGTGTAGTGGTTTCCAGTACAGCAGCTGTCTTGTTTTGTCATCTTCCTGTGATGGGGAGATCAGGATTCTTTTTTAGCAGTTCTCCCTGTAAGGACTGACTAGCCCAGTGTTTAGGTCTCTTGTAAGGGGGGGATCCTTTCTTGCACAGTATGCACACAAGCTAAGCAGCGCTGTGCAGAATGCAGAGGCTTGCCCTGTAACTGCCCTGTTTGTTGTCAGCGAGACTGCCCCAGAAGAGCAAATACCTTCCTAGCGTCTGCTCCAGTTGCACAAGGCACTGAGCTCCATACAGCAATGTTTCAGCTCAGCACCAGACAGTAGCACCTGAGCTCTGGTATGCTTGGAAGTGATGGGACATCATTAATGCCCTCGTCAGGAGCCCCCTGTTTCCCTGGCATCTGTATTCTGTAGCACTGGGCATTGAATGTATGTGGAGGGTCTTCCAGTCCAGTGAGGAATAATGCTCTCTCCAGCCTTTTGGAGATTCACTGGAGTTTCAGAGACTCCCAGTAACTAATGTAGTAAAATGGCCTTTGTGGGCCCTCTGAAGACCATTTGCTTCAGATTCAGCTGGGAAACAAACGTGCTGCAAGACAGCGCATCCCTACAGTAGCAGCCTTGCTACTGCTGAAACCCTGTTCCATTGAGCTGCCAGTGTGGTGTTCTTTGTCGTGCCCACGCTCCCATAGTGTCCTTTTTTCTGCACTGTAGACGCCACCTTCGTGGTCTTCTGTCACCTGTTTTCTTTTCAATACTGCTTCCTTTCTGTGAATGAGGCGTATTGGCAGTGCCTTCCCTGTGTGGAAAAGGTTAGAAGAAGAGGGTTTGTTATTTTAAGTCACTTGTTGACATGAACTCTGGATCATAGAGGGTATCTTCTTGTGCTCCGTAAATGAAGCAGATGTCATAGGAGCTGGTAGGAAGCAGCAGCACAGGCAGTCCTACTCATTCCTTCAGAGAGTGGGTTCTCCAGAATTATTGTTATCCAAAGACCCACTGTACCAGGAAGTTGAAAAATACAACCTTTTCCTTGCAGTTTTGCAGACAAGAAAATAGGCAGCTGGCTCCATGTTACCTCCCTGTGAATTTTCACTGCTTACCAAAGTTGCTGGTGGTGAAGTTCATGGGGAGGGAAGCTGCTGCAGTGCCTGGAGAACAGGTGGGTTTATACCAGTGTGTTACTACCTGGATAATCACATCGGCCCTGGCAGTGGGAAGTGCTCTGTGGCCAGGGTGTTCTCAAGAGCTGCCTCTCCCACATAATCATCAAAGCAGCCCCTGGCAGAGCGTGGTCTGTCTGTCGTGGGGATTAGCACCTGTATGGCAGTGACAGTAGCTGTACTGCACGGTGGTTTCCCAGCAGTAGTTATGCTGCCTTTTGGAACCAGCCCTCACTGCGGGTGCAGTGCTGCACTCAAAGTATAAATATGTGGAGTTCTGTGCAGGGTCTACTAAAGTTTGCAGTAAGAGGAGTGAGATCAGAAGACAACAAAATAAAATGTCACCAGTGTGAGAATGTGGTTTCTTATTGGTTTGGTGTGTAGTGTTCTTGGTACTATCCCTTCTTGCACAACACACCCCGGTCTGCTCACTTGGTTCTCCTGCGCGCTCTGGACAATCCCTTGTTAAGAGTTTGGTTAGCCTAGCATTTTGCAAATTCATGTTAAAATTCTACCCTATAGAATCATAGAATGGTTTGGGTTGGAAGGGACCTTTAAAGACCATCTAATCCGCTCCCCTTGCCACAGGCACAGGCGTCATTCACTAGATCGTGTTGCTCAGAGCCCCATCCAACCTGACCTTGAACAATTCCCATGATGGGGCATCCAGAACTTTTCTGGGCAAATTGCTCCAATGTCTCACCACTGTTAGAAAAGTTTTCTTCCTTATGTCCAATCTAAACCTACCCTCTTTCAGTTTAAAACCAGTGTCCCTTGTCCTGTCACTGCAGGCCCTGGTATAAAGTCTCCCTGTCTCTCTTATAAGCCGCCTTTAAATATCGAAAGGCTGCAATGAGGTCTCCCCAAAGCCTTCCCTTCTCCAGGCTGAACAACCCCAACTCTCTCAGCCTTTCTTCACAGCAGAGGGGCTCCAGCCCTCTGATCATTTTTGTGGCCTCCTCTGGCCCTGCTCTGATGGCTCCGTGTCTGTCTCGTGCCGTGGGCCCCACAGCTTGACACGGTGCTCCAGGCAAGGGACCATGAGAGCAGAGTAGAGGGGAAGAACCGCCTCCCTCCACCCACTGGCCATGCTTCTGTTGATGCTGTCCAGGATACAGTTGGCTTTCTGGGCTGCAAGCGCACATTGCCACCTCGTGTCCAATCTTTTGGTATCCCTGAGTCCTTCTCTGCAGGGCTGCTCTCGATCCATTCACCTCCATCCCCGGCTGCATTGATATTGGGGTTGCTGTGACCCAGGTGCAGGGCCTTGCCCTTGCCCTTGCCCTTGTTGAATTTCATAGGGTTCATATGCACCCGTTTCTGAAGCCTGTCATGGTCCTTCTGAATGTCATTCTATCCCTCCAGTGAATCAACTGCACCACACAGCTTGGTGCCATCTGCACACCTGCACTCAATCACTGATTTGCATCATTGATGGCAGTGTTACTGGTGCCAACACGGACCCCTGAGGGACACCACTCATTGCCCCAGCAATTGTTTCTGCAGCTGTGGTTTTTGTTCCATTGCACAGCCTGCAGTGTCCCCATTTTTTGCATCAGCCTCATTGTGACACTCTTCTAAACTGTGAAACTTAACCAAAATACATGTGATACAGGAAGGTACACCTGAGCCTGCATGCAAAAATGGAGTGCTGCTCCCTTCCACATGGCTGTGTGTCATTAGTGTTATTTGTATGTCAGTTTTAGCCACTTTTAACAACTGAAGTGTCTGCCTTGGTCTCCTGATGGGTCCAAATCTCAGCACCTTGCAACACAGCTAAGATCACAGGCACTGGTTACAAACAGGTTTCTGTGTTCTATTCTGGAGCAGGACGTCCACTGAACCAGCTGTGCCAAGGCAGGCAGCTCCTGGAGGGCAGCTGTAGGAAGCGTGAAGAGGTGTCTGAAAGTTGCAGGCCCCTGGACTGGGAGAGCCTGTGTGGAGATCCTGCCCACCAGCCTACAAAGACAGAGTGAAAAGGAAGCGAGAGCAGGCAGAAAATGGGACAGACGACTCCAATTCCTGCCTCATGCCCGGTGGACAATAACCATGCTTGCCCACCAAGCACAGCACAGAGAAAGCGACTGCCCCGGTTGCTTGTTTGTACCGTGGGGCAGAGGCAGGTATGTGAGCAGTTCCTGCAGAGCAAGCAGGTGATGTGCTGAGAGCCCCCGAGGGACCTTTTCTAGTGTCTGTGCCCTCAGCTCCCTCCAGAGACCGCCGCCCTTGCCCTGATGCAGCCCATTGTCTTGGAGGGACGGGGGCCGGAGCGCGGTGCCCCGAGCCAGCCGGGGGCCCTGTGCTGACCGAGCCGTCCCCCATCGCTTCCAGCCGTGCCCGGACACACCGCCTGACCCCGGAGGCGGCGCTGGCGATTTGGAGGCACGGCCCGAGGTCTCGGGGGCGGTGCCGGTGCCGCTGCGGCGCCGCTGGTGGGGGCGGTGCTGGGCGGAGCAGGCCGGGGGAGGACCGGGCGGCCGTTCCGCCCCGCCCCGCGCTGCGGCC